CTACCTTCTTTTCCTCGGCATCCATAAGCTTCTGCTCAACTCTTGGCTTGGCGTTCGTATTGGCAAGCACTTCGATGAGCTCAATATCGTCCAATAGATTGCCACTCGAATTCGATAGACGCTCCAACAGTTGCTTGTCCAACAACTGTAACGACTTCGTATTATTTGTCACCTACAGACGCCGAATACATCATCACCAGCCCTACCATCGCAACCCCACTTCTTCCATAAGAGCCGCAAGACTATCTTCAAGGCTCTTCTGTTCCATGCCAAGTACCCTTCCAAGGAGCTGCTGTTCCAAGCCTTTCAGTGTGACCGTGAAGTCAATGACCGTACACTTGGCAGACAGCTCTGGCGAGAAGTGCGGGTTTGGTAGACGTGAAGTCATATAGAGGACGAAGGCTGGGTTGTAGTCCATGTTCTGGTCCGAGACGTTTATGTATCTGTTGCAGCAACCGAGTCAAGATCGATCACCATAGCTACTCCAAGGTTACAGATTCTTGCCCTTTTTCACGATAGCCTTCTCCAGGACAGGATCGAGAATGGGATCGATTTCCTCTTCAACATTCTCGAGGATCAGACACAGTCCTTCACCCATTGTGAACTCCAGTTGGTCCTTCAGTCTCGGATTCGACAGAGTCGATACACACTGTCCTGGTGCCTTGGCGACTCGATCACTTTCCCTACTCTTGATCCACCTGAAAGACATCAAATGTAGATCCTGTGACGGAAGCCAGAACATCCTCGTGAGCATCTCCATCTGACTACCTTAGGGCTTGTCCTTGTGGATCAACCATGAGAGGATATCGGCTAGATCGAGTGACCATGATGCCGTTCTGGACGGAAAGGTCATCGCTGGGCAGACCTTCCAAAGCCCATTCTCCGACTGTTCCTTGGTCAACGAGGAACCCCACAAGGTCCATCTTTTCGGATGCCGGCACCTACACGCTCGATATCTACTGCTACATAAGACTGATACGCCATCAATCCGAATGAGAAACTCGACTGCTTCTAGTAGGCCCTACGTCATCGCCAGTCGCAGCAGGAACAAAGAGCACGTCCGTCGTCCCCCACGATGATACTCACCTTCCTCTGATGTGTATCAGCTAGGAAGTACTCTGTGTTGAGCTTGTCTCGATACTCCGAGTTGAATGGTCCACAGAAGGTCACAAAGGCACAGGACAAGGCCACATCTCCGACCAGCCGTTTACGCCGATCTGCGAAGTTGTTGGCATCCTCAGTCCAACGCTTCTTCTCCCCGCCGAGTCCGTTGATCAGTTTATTAGCCTACAACGGGACTATGCATCGCACTATGGCAAAGTCACAGCAACAGCCCCACCTGGTCCATTTTGTTCTTCGTAACATTAGCCTTCTCCTCGAGAGCATTCTTCCCATCCATGGCTTCCTGGAATTGGGCATTGAGGCCATCCAACACTGCCTGCGCTGCAGCAAGCTCGGCTTCGGCTTCGCCCAGCTCTGTCATCGCTGCTTCCAACTTTGCCGTTTGCACCTATGGGGCCAGTGTTGGAATATACGTTTGGTTTCCTCGGTTGAGCTTAGGAGTTTCCTCACTCATTATAGAAGTTTACATACCGTTCCGAATGAAAGTGTACGGAATCCAACAAGAATTTCTAAAAATTTCCTCAGCATTTCCATAATGTCATCAACACATGTAGTTGACCATATGCATATTTTCCCACACTATATGGGGCAGCAATAAGACCGACAGCAAGCAGATATATGATTCTTGCAGCTTAACTGCCTACTGAGACATTCAAAAACAGATCAGAAAACTGAGTCGTGAATCGCCTTGACCAAACAGTGAGTATCATGAAGCCCTCCAATCGACACTGATAGAGCTCACCTTCAAATAGTCCATCTTTGGCTTAACGATTTTCGCAGCCTCATGGTACATGACCATCGCGCCCACCCACTTGCATAGACCCTCCGCAGCCCCTACATGAACAGTATAACTATACGGCCACCTAGCAGACCTTACCAGAGGCCTTCTTTGCCACAGCAGGGTTGAAGTTCTCCAACTGCAAGTACGGCTGCAACAACTCGCATGTTTCATCGTTGATGTTATCCTTCTCGTTGGCAGAGAAGTCAAGCAAGTCCGGTAAGAAGCGGATGTCCGAAAGGACCGACTTCGCGATCTCATCATAGGAGTCGTGGATGAAGTCTATCTTGACCTTATTCACCACCTACACCGCCGATGACGATCACCGTGGTTCGTCATGCTTACAATGTAGCCTACCTTTTCCTCAGCTCTCACGTCAACAACACGCTTCTGCTGCAAGATAAGGAGACCATCGAAGACCAAACGGATGATATCGCTGGGCGTCTTCAACGTCTTCAACTCTGTGATGTCCTTGGAAGAGATCGATCGAGCAGCCGACTCGGCTTCGTGGAGGAAAGGCAAGGCCGCTTGCAAGTCCTTATTCGCGGCCTCCTGTTCACCTAAAATGATGGAAAATATTTTCTCTTCGAGAGAAATGCCTATGCCATCACACATGTACTCAACAACAAACGCCATGAATGACGATAGTGTTACTTTCGATGATGGCCTTCGACTGGAGGCAGTCATCCTTCTTTGCGCCCACTTCTGCTGCCTTTGCCTCAGCCTTCACTGTCTCACTCTGAACCTTCACCAGAAGCTTATTGGTCTGTTCTTCGGCAACCTGACAACAAAGACTATCGCTATTCCTCCTCAACAACCCATCTAACCCACCTTGAGATTCTTCTCTTCCTCCCTCAAGGCGACCTTCATCGTCTCCACATCTTCCGCAGCCTCATTGAGTTTCTTCAGACCTAATGGCCATCATTTTCTTATATAGCCGATCAATAGACTCTTGAAAAATACCAGTATTGACGCTTTTCTCCAAAATGTTCACTTCGTCGTACTTCACCTTATACAGCTGCTTATAGAAATCGATCAAACACAGATAACTCTTTGGTGTGACATAGACATGTCGCCGCATGCTCTGGAAATAAAGGTCGCAGACTTGTCCCACGAGATTCTGAGAAGGACCCATCCCGATCAGCATCCCCTCGGCAACCCGCGTACCTGGTAGCTGCCAAGGAGCTGATACAGCGCCTCCTTCCTGTCCGGCGGGGTGTCCACTTCATAACTTCTTAGGAATGTGGAGCTGACGGCCACGAGTGCCTCCTCCGGCCATGGCAGGAACCAATTGATGTTAACAGCCGAGAAGACCGCTGGGAACTTCTGTGCTCTGATGGGGAACTTCGCGTTGACCGGCGAGAAGCAGAGAACGACATGGAGGTTGTCTCGAAGCCGGTCCAGGAAGTAGCCGTACAGGTTGATCATGTTTTCATCAGCACCCGGTCGCTCCTTGACGAAGTCGTTGCGGACATCAGCACACATACTGTCCCTCTCATCCTTCTGGAAGAGGCCTGCGATCTCGCCCGTCGCTAGAATGCTGTTCATATACTCCAAGAATCCCTCGTTCTTGATCTCTGCATCAGTAAACAGGAACGTCACGGGAGTCCCCTTCTGTCCAGCGTCCTGATAGAGCCCACGAAGATCGTCAAATAGAGCGTTGTCATTGTAGTTCTTTGTGAGAGCAATCTGGAAGCACTTTTGATTACACGTGAAACTACTGAGTCTAGTAAGTGACTGTTTGCCACTGCCTCCGACACCGACAAGCATGGCACTTCCGCGCTTCTGCTGAATGGTACGCACTATTCTCATCATGTGGCACATAGCGTCGTCGAATAGGACAAGATTCATGGACTTCGCAGGGTAGGCGTCGTTGAACTTCTTAAGATATTCATAAGCCTTCGATCGCACTCTATCAAAGTTGGCACCGATCGGCTCGTAAATCTTGGGGGCATCCAATTCCTCATCCTCGCTTTCCGGAGCCTGAAACAATTCAATTTAGGCAACTCAGTCTTCCAAAGATCAACTTCGACCAGAAACGAAAGTGCTACACATCGATGCCTTTGGTCGAATGCAACGACGACGGCAATATTAAAAGGACATAACGCCCCGGCTTACCTCCCTCAAAAAGTCAGCCCACCAAGTGGTAACTGCATGCTCAGTAGCAAGCTTCTCTCCGAAGTGTTGAAGGGTGAAGTCATTGATGACCTTATCCACGAACTCTTTATCCACAGTCCTCGCCAGCTTGTCAGCGAAGACTCGAGTGCACTCGTGTTTCCACAGGCAGACCAGCACGCTCTCATCAGTGATGACCTCCAGAGGAGTATCCATGACTCCTTGGAAGACACGCGAGAGCTCACGCATGTTGAAGACATAGTGGAATCTTTGCGGTGTGGGCAAGAGGGAACGTTTGATCTTGTCCCAAACATCGATGGTGGCCACTGTAAGCTTCTCGGTCATCGCCACAACCTTATCTGGAGCTCCAGATTTGCTATTGAATCGAGCCCTCAGGATACTGCCGTAAATGTTGTCAACACTGACTACACTCGGCAAGACCATGTTGAAGGCGAAGAACTTGCTCTTGGTTCGATTAGGTATGTCATTCCTACCACCTCCTGGATGGCCCATAGCGCCAATGTAGCTGAGCTTCTCGATCGTCTTGAAGTCGCCACGCTTATCCTTGTCGAGGAAATAGAAGCCACCCATGTCCACAAGCTGTCTAGTAAGCTCA